TTCCTTCAAAAATAATTCTAAGATCATCCATTGATAGATCCTTGTTGAATCTATCGTAAACCCCAGGCATTGTAACACTCTTACTAACAGAAATTCTTGATAATATTCATAAAGATAGTTTCTCACAATTCTAGAGGTGAGAGTCTCTCCAAAAGAAGAACAATGTTCTTACAAATTAATTCTTAGCTACCTAAACATTAACCCCCTGACGGGTATATATACTAGACATGACCAAGGAAAGATACTCCAAAAGGAGTGGTCCCTCAAACAATTAAGGGACAAAGATAGTGCTCCCAAAATAGCCAATAGCAGATAAGAAAAAAAAACCAAAAGGACAAAACTACCCCTAGACCCCAAGACAGAAAATAAAAAGACTCAAATAAAGCAATTAAGCTAAAAGCATTTCAGACTGAGTTGGGGCTTATCATCCATATAAATGTGGCATATCACTTTTTGCAATTACTATTCATATCAATGTTAAACAACCCTCTTTCAAAATGGAACCCATTACCATATCAACAAAATAATGTAAAATATAAAAAAAGTTAAAATATATGAAGGAATTATCGTAATTATATTGATAAAAGATGGTTATGTAGGACCTTAAGGGCTTTGCAAGCCTTTTAAAAGTTGAAAGAAGTATGCTGACATGGCTTTCAAATAATGTACAATAAACATTTGCAAGATGAAAAAAACCACCGCTGTGGAAATAAGAGCATCGGCAGTCAATATTGACTTACTCATGTGTTGCTTTATAGAAATACAATTGAATCCAAATCATACAAAATGAAAAAGACGCCAAGAACCACATTTCAAGTATTATACAAATACCTACATATATAATCTCAAATGTCCTAAATTATCCGGAAAAATCAGAATCATGCCTACTTTTTGGATGTGTTTTTAAGGTCTTTTAGCATTCATAGTTAATTTGATGATTAAATTTTTATAAAATTGACAAGAGAACGATGATAATCTAGTCATGGAAATGATAAGAAAAACCTACAAAGTGATAACTTTGAATTATATAAAGGATAAAAATGTAATACAAAAATATTAAATATGCAAATCAATAATCCATCCACATATCAGGTTAAATAGCAGCTTTCCTGTTTCAGAATAATATTAATTCCACTTACCTCAAAAAAAAATCCTAGGTTTCTGAATCCGTGAATGGTGGAAGACCCCACTCACTTGGGTTAAAATCCAACAATGACGTCACCACTTTATCTGCTGTTTCATGGAATGACGTATCCAATCTTGGATCCGGAACCATAACTACAGACCTGCATCCCATTTTAACAAATATATATACTAACCATTATTATATTATTTACTTTTTCATTTAAAAAAAATATAAATACAAAATTAAACTACTACTTACATTCCAGCATTCTTAGCTGCAAGAACTCCCGATGGTGCATCTTCAAAAACAAGAATCTTAGAAGGATCCACACATCCACCCTATAATTAAAATAAATAAATAAATAAATAAATGAAAGTATGTTGCTATTTCCTTCATTTTTCCATAATATATTATAAATAGATTGACCTCGAATCTTCTGGAAGCTGCAAGAAATATATCGGGTGATGGTTTGCCTTGTTTGACTTCCGGATCATCTCCCATCACAATATGATGCATTAATGAAAATATCTCATCGTGTCTTTGTGTTTTTAATTCAAAGTGCCTTTTATGAGAACTGAAAACATCACATCAAAATAACAAATGATTCTTTAAAAAAAAATTAGAATTGTTTTTTCTTTTTGGTATTTTGAAGATGATAGAAATAGAGCCTTGTTAAATTTTACCCTGTTGCAACGCAAATTGGGACACCTGTAGAATGTAGATGTTTGACCAAACGACTTGCACCTACAATTAGTCAATTAACTTTTCAAAAACTGAAAAAATAATACTGATATGTGTTCCAAAATAATAAATAAATAAAGGATTTTTGTTAGTGATGACCTGGCATGAGTTCGCTTGTGGGAAACATGGATTGTAGCATGGATTCGCGCTCTACAAGGAAGTCTTCGGCGGAAAGGGAATCACTGATTCCGGTCTCTTCAACAAACACTCTGGCAGCTTCAATTGCTTTCTTCCCCATCATCTTTGCTTTTAGAGACCAATCAAAAGTTTTGTTGAATCTTGAAAGAATAATCTCTTGAACTTCTGTATAGAATTTCTCAGTATCTGTTACACAGGATTTTGTGTTATGTTATTCTTTCTGGTATCTTAGATATGTCTCATTGTGTATACTGAACTTCATAACAGACTAGGATAAGATTAAATGTTGTGATTACAAAGTCTATATGAATTTGAATTTGTGAAGACATTAATTTCTTTGAGACTTTGATATCATGTCAACGCATAGGTAATGTTCTCAACCTTGTCCCTCTCCAAAAATCTAGGGTTCTGAACTTCTGATTGCAATTGAAAGACGTATTTACAGAAATCCTCTTTACATTTCCCCTAGTTCATCAAATCACTAAAAACGAACAAGCCAATAAGAAACCGATGCCATTGATCGAATTATCAAATTAAATCTCAAGTGTGTTTAAATCTACAATCAATTGTACTCCAAAGTCCAAACAACGTCTTACATTATGCGTGTTTACAATAAATAGATCTGTATATATGAGACTTCAGAAAGCGTTCAATGATTATTTGGCTTACTGTCAGTGATAAACTATGCAAAATAAGTTTAGTTGAATGGAAACCATGGATGTAACAGCACTAACCGAGCAAAAGTCCATCCATGTCGAAGATGACGTGAGTGATTGACTTCTTTTCTGAATCGTTGGCAGTCGTGTTCGCCATTTTTGCCGATGCGGATGCTCTTCGTAATTTGAACGGGAGCTGAGTTCTGCTGCTAACAGATCTTACACTTGATCTTGGCGTTTGAGTGGCGCAAAGAATCAAACCGAATATTTGGTTAGGTTTTAAAATAATGTGTCTCATGTTTTAAAAGAATTCAAGTAGAATTAGGTGCGGCGTATAAGCTATTTTTGTTAACAAATAAATCTTTTTTTAGAATAGAAAGATTTTCACAACGAAGTAAAAGTTAAATCGCATCAAAATCTAATTGTGTTCTTTTATCAATTTGATTATTAAAAGGGATAATGACTTGAAAGGGTAACGAATTTTCGACTTTTTTCACATTTAGTCACTAAACTTTTTTTCGTTATCTATTTGCCATTGAACTATTGAAACTGTTTACATTTTACCCTTATGACCAGTTGTTACCGGTCATAAGGGTAAAATGTAAACAGTTTCAATAGTTCAATGGCAAATAGATAACGAAAAAAAATTTAGTGATTAAATATGAACAAAATCGAAAGTTCGTTTCCCTCTAAAAAGTTCAATGACTAAACAAACTTAATCTTATATTATGTTTTAGCAAATTATTTATTTTTGTTAAATTGTAGCAATATTTGTTGATCAAGAAATCTATGAAATAAAAAAAAAACAAAACCCTGAAAATATATTTTAAAAAAAAACAAAAAACTGAAACCGAAATAAAAAACCAATGGTTTGACATTTTCCAAAATAAAAAATCAAAATTTCCAATCTGATTTTAGTTTTACAAAACAAATGAACCATTCTCACTGATGTGAATTATGACCATTGGTCTGGCATGCGGAATTTGTGACATCCCATGAATACGTAGTTACAACATCGTCTGAACTCGTAATTCATAGTAAGGGGTTAGAGTATCATCGCATAAATACGTAGTTACAACATCGTCTGAACTCGTAATTCATCACCTACAGGTTATGGGCCTGCTGGTGTTTCCACTGGGTTGTCTAGAATAGTCTGTGGTCGTCATCTATACTCTGGTAGATGACTACATCGCCACATTGTCGGTTAAGGTTATGATATTTCCTTTCATCCTACATCACCTATTCATCATCATCTATTTACCTAATTATCATCACCTATCTCTCATCATTTTATTTCATCACACACCAACTATTTCATATACCCATGTTTCATGCGCAACATATTTATAGATATAAAATAAATATACCGTTTAAATCTTTTAAAACATGTATAAAATCGTTCATCCAACATAGACAACAAGTATTCAAATAATATGCACACATAGCACATAATTTATATAAAATATTTTATATCTATGTGTAAGATTAAAGTAACTATATGTTGAGTAAAAAAACTGACCCTCTTGAACTTTGCTACCGCAGCGTCCAAGCCACCGTAGTCAAGCAACATCCTCAAACTATGATATCCGAAGTCATCATGCACCGTAGTCTATGTCATTACTTAGTTTATTTTGTCTTTTCTGTAATACACTCTATTGTCCAGTATGTCTTGCATGGCTACTCTTAGAGTTGTAAACTTCTCTATAAATAGAGATCCTTGCTTACGTATTCAGTACCACAACCGATGTGTGAATCTTTTATCAATTTCTAATACACATCTTCTTGTTCTCATTCTCTCTTACTTAAGCTTCTTCCATTATTATCTATCCTCGTAGAGCAAGTCACTTGTGACTTAATCAATAAGCTAGATCTAACTTACTAACTTGGTTTGAATGCATTCCATGTTATGAATCTGCTTTTATGTATACTTGATATAACAATTGTTGTCATTTACGTTTCTTTACATTTCCGCATGTACCTTACTAACTTCTAATTCTTAATATTATTGTTGAGCTAACAGATCCTTAGAGATTAACAATTCCGCTATTTACTTGCTTTAATATTTTGTTCAAGTGTGTCTCAAAGTTTCTCTTATCACTATATATACCATAAAAATCCCATAAATGCTTCCTAACTTCAAACCCCAAGGTTTACTCTACTAAAGCTTCATATTCTCGGCTCTCTGGACCTAGAAGGGTCCAGATTCCTAACGATGGTGGTGGTAGCTATTTTCAGTTTTCCGACCAAATGAAATCACCCATCACACACACCCATATGCATTTCTGCTTACAAAACGAATCCAATACCCACCTGTGGTGGGCGGCGACGACAACAACACTCTAGTGGCAATCAACGGCGGATTGCAGTAACATCAAGGAAATGGCCACCATGTTGGGAAGCCATGGTGGTTCCCACGTTTTTCCGGCCAACAGAAGGCATACGCACACACTAACACAAGTCAAGCAAGGGGAACACACCCAATCACAGTCACCCCCACAGTGGCTCACGACAGTCGGAGAGAAACGCCATCCACAACCGCACCCGCTGCTCGATAAGGCGATGGCAGCGATAACTTTACGACAAAAGAAGAGGAGACGAAGTGGCGGCAGGAAACGATGGCGATAAAGCTCAGCAAAGCCCACCTTGGCGAACGACGACTCACCGTCTTCATCGACCCTCAACGGTTCTCCGACAGTAGTGTCGCAATGGCGACCTTCCATAGCAGTGTAGCAGCCGGCGGTGCTCAATGGCGAGGTGGTAAGCATCCTCGTTGATCGGAACAACGAACAAAAGGGAGGTGGTGGCGGCTAACTTCACCCATGGCGGCTGGAGAGGTTCTCCTTAGGGTTAGGGTAGGCAACGGTTATATACTCCCGAGCCCCATAAGCATTATTTCCATAATGACCGAATTAGCCCCTCCTTCCACCTTTTCTTTTAAAACGAATCCATAACTTACCATTTAAACCCTCATCATTAAAATGCATTACAAATCAAGTACAATACTTACCAAACAACCCTCCGTTCTTGAATTTCTTTGCAAAGCCGGTCCAAAAGTTACCCTTTAAACCCCCAATATCTCAATTATGACATATTCAGCCCTTCCACCTCTTTTCATTTCAAATAAACTCCAAAATTACTTAAATAGCCCTTAGTCTTCAAAATCCTTTCATTAAGTCCCAATAATTCACCAAGTAGTCCCTACCTTTATAATTATTACAAAACCAATCCGGAACTTACATTTTTAACCCCCAACTTATGAATTGCGCCAATTAACTCCTCGAAGCCAACACCCTGCATATATAATTATTTATTTTAGGGCTATCATTCATTCATTATTTTGTTTATTTATTTAATAAATAAATCGGGTGTTACAAAAAAAAATTCGGGTTGTCACATATAGGTAGGGTAAGGTCGTTGTCTTTGTCGGTGGGAACTTGTTGGTATTAGAGTGGGTATGAACGTTTGTGTGTGTTGGGTGTATGGTTGGGGGTACGGGTAGGATTAGGCACAACGACGTGTACATGATGGGTGTTAGCATGGTGTGGGTGGGTGTATGGGTATAAGCTTGTTGATGTGAGTGTGAGTATATGGGTAGGTCGGTAGGTAGATAGATGGGTGGGTGTGAAAAACATGACAAATAAATATGTTTTGATTTGATAAATACTAGTTGAGATAAATAGTAGGTATGAGGTTGTGTGTGTCTTTGGAGAAAAACATAATGAACAAAATCTTTTTTTTTTGTCTTTATCGAAAGAATTATCAATCCTTAATACACAAAATTTAATGTAATTTGAAGAACGTAAATTCATTTGATATTGTCAACCAAAAGTATTTTTTATTGAAAATTATTTTTTAGTTCCTCAAAATTTTTTCGAGAACCAAACACGGTGTAGGGGTTTATATATATATATATATATATATATATATATATATATATATATATATATATATATATATATATATATATATATATATATATATATATATATATATATAACAACCCAATTTTCACGACAAAAAAAATCATTTTTTATTAAGTGATTTGCACAACATTTATATCAAAATATCAACCGATCATATCATTTAATAAAAACATGTATCGTATCTGAAAACCGAATCGTAAAAACATAATAATGTCAGAGTACAAATCTCAGAAGAACTCATAATGCGGAAAACAAAGAGCGTGTGTATGATGTGTCGCTACCGCGCCAGCTCCTTCCCATTGGCTGAAGAAGTACCTGAAACCAAAACTGTAAACTGTAATCACGAAGCTTAGTGAGCTCCCCCATCGTACCACATACCATGCAATCACATAGCATACATACTGCCGGACAATTATGGGGTGCCCGACCTACCCGGTACGGCCATTCTGGGGTGCCGACCTACCCATGCAGCCATTTTAGGGTGCTGTCCTACCCATGCGGCTATTCTGGGGTGTCGTCCCACCCATGCGGCCATTCTGGGGTGTCGTCCTACCCATGTCAAGCCATTATGGGGTGCTGACCTACCCGTCGGTCCTAACAACCGACCCTCGGGGACTATTCCACCCCTTACTGCTACTATCACATACATAGTAACATAAACATACTATCAGACATATATGGGGTGTCCGAACTACCCTTCGGTCCTAACAACCGAACTTGGGGACTATTCCCCTCCTACTACCGCTATCACATATAACATATCATGCCGACATATAAACATATCAACACATATTATCAGACATATATGGGGTGTCTGACATACCCTTCGGTCCTAACAACCGAACTCTACTACTATCACATATAACATATCATGCTAGCATATAACATATCAGGTAGTAGCAAACCTAAATGATATCACAAAGATAATCATCTAATCATACAACTCCTAATGGTGGGCCGACATTGTGGCCGTAGACCCACCGCTACTGGAAGGTAACTCACCTCGTAGTAGCTGCTGATATGTGCGGGAATACTCTGACTGTTGTCGCTGCTGCTCCGGAAATCCTTCGGCTATAATTCCCACAAAACAATTAGTCATACACTGCTAATTGTTCTTAGGGTAAAATGACCATTTTACCCCCGACCAAATCAAAGTCAAAGTCAACTTCTAGTTGACTTGACTCGCCAAGTTGGCTCGCCAACTCGCCGAGTCCCTATCCTTCCATTTGTCCTTATACTCATCTCTACTCGTTGAGTTAGGCGATGACTCGACGAGTTTTCCTTCTAAATTAACATCGACTGAATCCTCATCCGATTCGCCGAGTTGTATGAACAACTCGTCGAGTTCATCTTCAACTGATACACAGGTCTTGTCCTTGACTCGCCGAGTTGTATGAACAACTCGTCGAGTTCATCTTCATTCTTAAGAAGTTTGCCTTGGACTCACCGAGTCCCATGAACTTCCAGAACAATGGTTTAGTCCAGAACGTTAGGTCACTCCCCGGGACCCCCCTAAAACCTTTCCACAATCAACTGGGTCCTTATGACCCTCAACTAATATGGGACAGAAACCTTGGACTCGCCGAGTCCAAGAATGGACTCGTCGAGTTGGTCGCATCCTCTCACTAAATCTTCGATTTCTGATGTACAACCCTTGATCAAAAGATAGATCTATGCTTCTACAATCGATCTAGCACGTAAAGTTACAACCTTTACGTGCTTGCATGGGACTTTGAGCTCAAAAGGTCCTAAAACAATCTCTTACAGTGCATGAGGCCTTCTTTGAGTGCAAGAGCCACTCCTTTCTGCCTTGTAACCCCTCTAAGGGCCTATATTTGAAGCATCAACCCCTAACCATGCTTGTAATCATGGTTGGTGACCAAAATGGCTTAGAAAAAGCCCTAAAACTCCATAAAATGGGATCTATCAAAAGAAAAAACAAGGTATGGACTCTATACCTTCTGTAGACTGCAAATGATGCTCAAAATCAGATCCTTCTAGCCTCCTTCTGATCCTTCAAGCTTTTCCTTCCTTCCTTGGGGCACAAAGCACCAAAATCACTCCAAATGCCTTAGATTGCTTCAATAACAGCTAGGGTTTTCTATGGGGGTCTTTTGGGAGCAAATGGGACGAAGGAGGCCGAGTTAAGGTGTTTAAATAGGGTGCAAACCCTCGGGTTAGGGTTTTTGTCCAGGGCCTACTCGCCGAGTCCGGGACCCGACTCGTCGAGTCCACTGCTTAAACCCCGCGTCTCATCCCGCTTCTACTCGGCGAGTTGATCCTTCAACTCGCCGAGTCCAAGGCCAAAATGCAAAAATGTTAATAATATAATACATACCAAGAACTAGGTGCTACAATATATATATATATATATATAATATATATATATATATAGATATATATATATATGTGTGTGTGTGTGTGTATATATATATATATATATATATATAGAGAGAGAGAGAGAGAGAGTGAGAGAGAGAGAGAGAGCTAGATTCAAATATTCTAACTAATTATTGTGCGGATGTGTGAACAATGTTATTATATGAGAATTACTAAGAGAATAAGTTGTTTAGCAATGCGAATATGTTCAACCTTACAAAAATATCATCATTTTCATGCATTATCAGTAATTATTATTTATTTTTGTTCTCACACATCGTTTTTCACTCATTTTCATTATGACATTAATATGACTCAATAAACATTCTGTCAAAATTCTAACAGAAATGAGAATAATAATAATAAGTGTATAATAACCTTATAGGCGATTTAATTAGTGAGAATGTGTGTTAATGACGACCACATACTCTTTCTAGACAGTACAGTGGAACGCTAGCATGCTCATAACCTGTAGGTGTTGTGAACGATATGTTCACCGGTGTACTCTATCTCCCTCGTGGTTGCCTTTAGGACATTTATTGATGAGGAAACCCCTTGCAGTAATGTCCATCCTGATGAAAATCCTATATTAGGTTCCTTATAATAGATGTTGTTTTAGAGACGTAAAATGAGGATAACGAGAATGGATAATCGGGTTATTGTTGTTTGTTGAATTAAATATACTTATTTATTGTGGGTTGAAAACCCTATATGCTCACCAGGCTCCCAAGCCTGACCCACTCAGTTTATTTGTATTACAGGTAGTGGCGTGAGGACATAAGTTGGATGAATCATCAATATATTTTGTTTATAAGCATGCATATGTATATAATTGTTGTATGACTTGTAATATGTTGTTTGTGCTTTTGGTATGTATCGGAACATGATATCCCGAGTTTTGATTATATAATGAAAATACGTTTCTTTATGAAATGCTTTGGTAAATATTATTTTATTACATTTTGTTTTGGGAACAAATTCCGCAACTCTTTTAAATCAAAATGATTTACTATGAGATCATTTTAAAAACATAAATGAAACCGATCTTTCTGGCCGTGATTTTGGGGATGTCATAGTACCAATCATGTTGTAGGTTCTATGAGCATAACATATAGATTGTAGGCCGGTGGGAAGTTCTACTCAGATTGAAGGCTCTGTATGCATGTCGTTTACTATAGTATCTTGGTTTTGTGTTGTGTAGGTACTTTAGGGGAAACTCACTAAGCTTTGAGCTTACAATTTTGGATTATGTTTCATGTACTTTGGAGGATCACGGGATGACGAATGCATGATCGTGCACCTCCTCATGTTTTATTTCACGACTTTGGGATTTTTCTGGTGTTGAACTTATTTTGAAAACAACTTATAAATAATAATGTTTTTGAGTAGATTTTAAAAGTTTAAAATTTTTGAAATTTTTTAGAATGTTACAAGTTGGATTTGGTGATATCATGTATAAGAAT